AGTAGTACGAATTTTCAAAACTTCCTACATGCCCCAATCCTACACCTCCACAGTGATCCTAAATCAAAATTTCATGATTTCAACTCTATCACTTCACCCACAATTTAAATTGTACCAAATTTAGTACACATTAGTACGAATTTCTAAAACTTCCTACATATTTTAATCTTACACCTCCACAGTGATCCTAACTCCATGATTCTAGCTCTATTGGTACCCTAAAATTCAAATGTTACCAAATTTAGTACCATTTAGTAACCATAAGTATTAATTTGTTAAACTGAATCCTGACCCTAATCCTAAATCCCTACAATGATCCTAACTCCAAATTTCATTGTTCCCACTCTATAGGATCACCCAAATCCAAACTGTCCCGATTATAGTACTTTTCGTACACATAAGTAACAAATTTCCAAAACTACGTTCATATCCCCATCCTACACTCCCACGATAATTTTAATTTCAAATTCCAGGATTCCAGCTCGATTTGTATTTGTACCATATAGTACTTTTCGTACACATGAATACACGCTTTCCAAACCATCTCTTTAAGAGGACCCTACTTCTCAACCTTAATTCACACTCCAAATTTCTAGTTTTTAACGCTATCAGTTCACATGCACAAATTTAGTACATTTTCGTACTTTTCGGATAGTTATAGTTCGAATTTCTAAAAACCCTTTGGTACGTCTATTCTGCACTCCATCAGTGACCCTCAATCCAAATTTCAGAGTTCTAGCTGTACTGGTTCTCCAAATACAAATGGTATCACATTTATTACTTTTCGTACCGTTCTGGCACGAATTTCCAAAAACCCAGCCTTATCTCTCACATTTGGACCAAGAGTGACCTCACCCAAAGTTTCAAGATTCTAGCTTCAGGCGTTTCGTCTGGGCGTTGATGAATCAGTCAGTCAATCACTTTACTCTTTTATTAGTATATATATATATATATATTTACTTCCTTTTTTATTGCCGTAAATTTTCCAAATTTATTACGTGCTATTAAATCAATAATAAAACAGCTTTCATTACTTTATCCATTTTCCCCACACACGTCGTCATCATATTCACACTCCAATAAACAAAAAACAAAAGAAAGTTTTGCACAAATTTAACAACCGGGCGGATACTTTTCATCATCATAATGTGCTGTGCTTCAAAAGAAATATGAAATCAAGTATACGACCATGTTTATGTCGATAGCCAAAAGAACACAAGATTGAACTACGTGTTCAGCATAAATTTCTCCCTATAGATCGCAGAAGTAACGAATTTAACTCAAAAAAAGAACTAAACTTTACTGTTCCCCAATGACGTCATCGTTGTCGTCCTGGTCCTCAGCTTCATCATCATTGCCAAAGGACCAAGTATAGCCGGAAAAAAGTTTCCATCACGCAATATCGAAGCGCTCAGGTGTGCACAGTGCGTACTCAGCTATGCAAGCCAATGTGACCCTTAAGATACATTTTAATGTAAATGGCAGTAGGTTTCTTTTTGTGAGATTGTTACTTGCCGCTTTTTTATAGAAAAACTTTTTCGTTTTCGTTACAACTTGCTGCCAAAGTAGGTGTCTGTTGTCTATTTGACTGAGTTTTCCTGTATCCATCCGGCGGGAAATGTGCAAAAAACTTGTGCGTATTCTTAGAAGGTTCGTTTACCAGCAGAGGGATACATTTTTGGGTAGCAGGTGTGTCAACTTGAACAATAGTATCTAGAAGACTTAATTAGTATCGTTTGTGTTTGGTGTTTTTGTGATAGTAATTGATTTAGAAATACCAAAAAAAATATTTCAACTAAATTGGAAATTACACTGTGCTACAAAATATTTGCCGGTGGAAAATTCCTTTGGGAATGCAAACTCTAAGCAAGTATATCGATAACACCATACGTCAAGATTTTCAGTTATTGCGTTTGCTGGTGACCCTATAACAGCTATTGCCGGATTACGATGACTAGTCATGCCTAATGAGGAATACTTCTCATAAATATATTCAACTTTTATCGATGAGAAGTTTCGGTTAAAAAATTAATAACACGGGAAATTGCGCGGTATCTTTATGTGATGACTATACAAAAACTTGGACCTATATGATCAATTTGTAACCCAGAATACCGAATTACAGCCACTGTAATGGGGTGTGCCGTTACTCTTTCCTTGAGGCTATATAAAACATGTACCTATATTCTATTACACATTTTCTGTTTATATTTATCTCAGCCTTCACGAACTCTTTATACCAAAAGTGCGACTTAAACCTTCAAAATATCCAAATTTTGTCGATATCGTTATATTGGAGCTATAGCATAACTTAAATTTGTTGTAGGAAGATTTGCTACCGATAAAAACTTGAAAAACTAAGTTAGATCCAATTTGATTCAAACACATGCCCCAAAATACCGGATAATGGGGATGTACCTTTATGGAGGCTATCCGGAAATTACAAAAAATTTAAGATATAAAAATACAGCCAATCACAGCCCCAATATATGGGAATACCCGAAAACATGGACTAATATTTTTTGGTAAGGTGATTTTTTATTCAAGGAGAATCTAAAATATAAAATTACTTTCAGATTCCCTTTCAGAAATAAAAGAACTATCGGGCTCGTCCACGTAGCTCGTCCACGTTCTTGAAGTTATACACAACGATAAACGTCTCACTAATTCCGTTAAACTCTTAAATGGGACAGTTTGTTGATCACTACTGATAATTCGATAAATCACTGATTTATTCATTGAATATTTCCGTCCGTCTGCCCATATCAAATTGGAACAGGTCACACTTATGATCCGAATGGCACACTATTGATTTTGAAAATATAGCCCCCATAAATTTGTCCGATTACACACTAAAGTTCACCCAAGTCACAATGTTTTACCGATTGAGACAAATTTTTGCGCAGAGTACTGAATTAAATACAAAATTTATATATAGCTCCCATATACATTTTTGTCCGATTTTATGTAAATGGTGCACCAACCTCCCAATGTTTGTCCAATTTAGACGAGAATTTTGCATATCGTATTGAATTTAGAAAAAAATGTGTTAAATTTTGTAGACATGGATTCAGATTTAGATATAGTTCCCATATAGAGTTTCCTCTAATTTGATGTAAATGGTGCACCAAACTTCCAAGATTTATCTGATTGAGACAAATAGTTGGCACAGCTAACCGAATTAAGCACAGATTGACAAATGTAAAGTTTTACTGAAATTGGGTCAGATTTTGATGTGGCTCTCATATTATTTGATGTGAATGGTACACCAAATTCCCAAAAAAAAATGTGTGAAGTTTCATTGAAATCGGAATAGATATACATTAACCTCCCATAGTTTTTTCCGATTGCGATGAAATTTTATACAGTTTCGTTTAATTCGGTTCAGATTTAAATGTAACTCCTATATATATCCGTCGGATTTTATGAAATTCTGCCCTATATACCGAACGTTTGTTCGATTCAGATGAAATCTAGGACTGATTTACATATTCCTCTCATACAAAGTTTGATCCGATTCACTATATAAATGTTTATGGGTTGATTTAAATTAGTATAGATATTTAGATATTTAATTTGGTCCGATATTTCTATATTTTTGACACATGTTTGCTAGAAGCTTCAAGATTTTTCTTTAGTATTGAAGAATATTGTATAAAATTATCATTTTTAAATTTGGTCCCAGAAATATGAACAAAAGCATTACAATATAGTATGTAAAATTATGTTGGAAAAATTATTGAAAATAATTTTCCGGAGTCGGAGTTGTGCCACAACCATGATTTTTTAGCATTTCATTTCATTCAGCATTTACAGTATGTGTGTGTAGCTTTGCATACACATAATATTAATTAAACCAATATTGTTAGTCACGTATATGTTGCATACATATTTCAGAGAAACTTTTCAATATTTTCAAAGTTTTTTTTTTTTATTTTCCACCAAACACAATAAAATTAAAAAGTATTCTTTAAAAAGCGTAAAAACGCTACTGCAATATTGTCGAAAGGACATTGCCCGCATTTGTGTCTTCGAATGCTATTTGACTGCCATAGTCAAAAGAAAGTGTGGATGCAACCAACTCAAACAGAATTCTTATTTTGTGGTACTGATGTTACCAAAAGATATTTTCCGTATTTTGTTTTTCCACTTCTCACTGAATATGCAATGAAGCCACGTATGAAAGAACAACAGGAAAAAAACACAAAAATTAACATATGTGAAAATTTGCAAGCACATACACACACCAAATAAAAAGGCGACACCAAATTTTGCATATATGCACTTTGATGCTGGCAAATAGAATGATAATATTTGATAGACAGGCGGACACACTGACAAACGTTATTATGCTATGCCACCAACATACGTATATTAGCAGGTTTTTGCTTTCCTTGTTGCTCCATTAAAATTGTTTTCATTTGCCGCCACGACTCACGTTACGTCGCTACACCAATTCCCGGCTATAATTAAATCTAAAACAAAAAAATTGACTAACTAAGCACAGAGTGTCAAAGGGGCTGGTGGCCAAAACCCCGCACGCAGTCGCAATCCCACAGGCGAGCTGTAATTAAAAATGTTAATTTAATTTTAAATACATTTTAATTAGATGCTGATGTGTGGATGTGTGTGTATCCAATTTTAGATGTATGTTTGTCTACATATGTCCAAAATTTAACAATTTCAGGAGAGACATGATAATCTAACACAGTGTGTGTGTGTGCACCACTGGTCTGATATATAAAAACACTGTTAACTATAAATTAGAAATGTCAGAAAAAAAAATAACTACCAATAATAAATATTTTAGAGGCACGTTATCTACATTCTGTGACACTCACATTGATTTTTATATCTATTTCCAATTTTCTCCACCGTATTCAAAAATATGTACATTTCAATCATCTGATTACAAAATCAACCACCAATGCATATTTTCTCTCGGTGCATCCTGAATTAATGTGTTTTTTATTACTTTTGTCTGGCATTTTCAGAAACTTGTGCACCATCTTCCTTCACATGCTCTGATGGAAAATGCATACCAATGCGTTGGAAATGTGACTCCAAACCGGATTGTGATGATGGCTCTGATGAAACTGTTGGTTGTGGTAAGTTTTTGTTGGCATTTTTGTTTTGGTCAGATGATATATTTTTATCACAAAATTTGTTATTACATTTGCTTCGCATGCAAAATTATGATAATCACATCTACTTTATAATACAAATCATTGCAATGGCATTTTGTAAATGTGTGTTTGGTGAAGTGGAAATTGAGCAAATAGTTTTATCTATTATTTTGGAAATTTTTGAATATTTTGTATAGTTTTATATAGTAAACAATTTAATAGGAGAGCTTTAAAGCGAAAAATTATTTTTAGATCGGATCAAATATACAAAATTCAGAGCATTTGTAAAAATTGATTTATACGTTCTACTATTGATGAAGAAATAACTAAGCGACTTGGAAAAGTGCAAAATATTTTACAATAAAAAATTAAAAATCGTACAACACCAAATCTTTCGTTACTCCACATTGTAAGGAGGGGGTATAAAATAAATAATTGTCGGAGATTCCATAAATTATGTATAATCGGAATCAGAATATAATTCTATATCGATTTATTGATGATAGAGTTTTGGCATACATATGCGAGCGAAATTATCAATTTCGGTCAATGTTTGGACATAGCCCCCATATAATGTAGCTGTGATTTGGCATATGCAGAAGATCTTGTACATAGTTATATGTTTTTACTTAAGCCCCATATAAAAGGTTTGTCTCATTTTCATTTTTTCTCTCAAACACCCCAAGAGCTGTTTCATCTGCTTGCGCAAATACCCATACTTTTGACCCACGTAACAGCACAGATAGTATCAGCGTCGTGTAGGGTGTGAGTTTGGTCTGGCGGGAGGTGGCCTTGTTTCTAAACTGCTCACTTAGATCATAGTAGCATTTGTTGGCCAACACTATTTGATACCAAAAATTTTTCAAAATGCTGCTTCTAGATCCTCCGCTGTCTGTATCTGACACCAGGTTTCCTTCTTCATCTCTAAAGGAAGATGTGCCTGCACCAAAGCCTTCGGTGTGATGTTTTACTAGTTGCTAAAATTTCCGGTCTTCATTGTCACTCCTGTATATCTCTAATTGTAATTCTACATCGCATTACATGTTGCTACTACCCGCAGGGTTACCCTATTCGCTGCGGTTTTTACGTCAGTAGCATTACGACTTTCGTGATCGTACCATGGGTTTCTTGATGGTGGTTTTTGGTATCCAAGTGTTGCTTTTGCTGCAGTTTGCATGGAGTGGGCAATTCTTTGCCATTGCGCTACTATTCTATTATAGGGACAAAAAGTGCTTTCGTCAAGCAGGTGGGCAAGTTGAGCGGAGTAGGCCTCTGTCACCTGTTGTGTTTGCAGCTTTTCGATGTCTAGTTTCCATGTTGTGTTAGATCGCACCTTTGCTGCTACATAAAGACGAGTGCGAACCTTGGCTGCTACAAGGTAGTGTTCCGAATCGATATTCGCTCCTCGTATCGATCGAACATCTAAAATACAGGAATGCCTTCCGTCTATCACAACATGATCAATTTGATTTCTAGTTGCTTGATCAGGAGAAATACAGGCGGCCTTGTATATATCGAGATGCTTGAATATGGTGCTGCTAACTACCATGTTTGTTGCTGCCACGAAGTCAATCAACCTCATGCGGTTGTCGGAAGTTTCTTCATGAAGGCTGAATTTTCTGACGGCGGGGCCAAAGATATTTTCCCTTTCGATTTTTGCATTAAAATCTCCTGCAGAGTTTTATTTCTGTCTTTGGTCGGATGGGCAGTGCGTAATCGTTCGATTTATTTACGCCTGTCCCTTTCCCTCGCATTTCCTGTAAGGCAATAATATCGACTTTATACTTCTTGAGTACATCCGCCAAAGCGAAAACTGCGCCAGTTTTGAACAAGGGACGCACATTACAAGTGCAGATTCGCTGATCGTGGTCATTTATACGTTTGCGGGGGTCGTCAACATTTGGGGGTTTTTATACCCTTCACCACACTGTGGTGCAGGGTATTATGTCTTTGTGCACATGTTTGTAACAGGCAAAAGGAAACGAGATAGACACATGGTTTCTTTTGAGAATATGCATAGAATCACTTTCTGAGTCGATTTACGCATGTCCGTATGTCCGTCCATGTATTTTTGTGAACAAAGTACAGGTCGCATTTATCATCCGATTTGGATGAAATTTGGCATAGGTCACTTAATTGGCCCAAGGACAAACCCTATTGAAATTGGAAAAAATCGGTTCAGATTCAGATATAGCTCCCCTATATATTTTCATCCGATTTAATGTAAATGGTGCACCAAAGTCCCTATATATCTCTCGATTTGCACGAAATTTGGCACATCGTAATGAATTAGGTCTAGAAAGATGTGTGTTAAGTTTCCTGAAAATCGGTTCAGATTTGGATATAGCTCCCATATATATTTTCGTCCGATTTAATCGTCGTCGTCTTTTGTCTACAGACAGGTCAAGTTCGAAGATGGGATATATCGGTCCACGTTTAGGCATATCTCCCATATAAGGGTACCCCCCCCCCCCAATTTTACGTATTTTGGGGTTCTTGAGCGCGTTTTTTAACCGAACTCGCTGAAATTTGGTACATTTGGTTCTTATTGGGTGCCAAATATCTCCACTAATAATTATAAAGATAGGTCCAATTTTTCTGGTAGCCCCCATATAAGGGTACCCCCAATTTTTGCTATTTTGATGTTCTTGAGCACGTTTTTCAACCGAATTCGATGAAATTTGGTAGTTTGTATTCGTATATGGTAACAAATTTTCCTACAAAAAATTATCGATATTCACCCCCTTTTGGGATAATCCCCTTATAACATGCATAAATCACTCTCTGAGTCGATTTATGAATGTCCGTCCGTCCGTCCGTCTGCCCGTCCATGTATTTTTATAAACAAAGTACAGGTCGCATTTATGATCCGATTTGGATGAAATTTGGCATAGGTCACTTATTTGGCCCAAGGATGAACCCTATTGAAATTGGGAAAATCGGTTCAGATTTAGATATAGCTCCCATATATATTTTCGTCCGATTTAATGTAAATGGTCAACCAAAGTCCCTATATATCTTTCGATATGCACGAAATTTGGCATAGCGTAATGAATTAGGTCTAGAATGATGTGTGTTAAGTTTCCTGAAATCGGTTCAGATTTATCTGACCAAATGAAAAATTTAGTATCGGTTGCAGAATGGCATGTTTATTGATCCAATTTCATTTTACTGGTATTTAAACGGGTGATGACTTTAACTTTCCTTACTGGTTGTTTTCTTTTTCTTTGCTTCTTCATAGTAGGAGGGGTTTTCCGAGTGTGTGCAACTAACAAGACGTCTCAACCCATTTTTTATAGTTCTTATGGGTGAACTCGCGGCACATATCAACTCACTATTTAAACGGGTGATGAAAATACCTACCCCAGGTGACACCACGGGGAGATAATAGAGATGGATGAGGGACCAAAATATGCCTGGGCTTCGCCATGTTAAAACCAATCAGAGCTGTTGCTTGGTATCTATCATCCCCTACGCCACCCTTCAATGAAATGAAGTATATTACAATATATTTAAAGGTAGAAAATTCTAGATAATGTAATATGGCCATCATTGCATGTTTCAGATATGGAGCTATATCTCCATTATGTATTTTCATTCGAGTTGATCTTTGGACAGGACGCTGTCCTGCAGCTTACCAATTGTCGCGCGTTAAGTTTATTTCAAATCTATGCACATTTGCATATAGCTTCCATACATAAGTTAGTTCGATTTCATATAAATGATACTCCAAAGACCTCGAGTCTACCTAATTTTACATAGATTTTGGAATGGCACGTGTATGACTTGATTAAATAGTTTATTTTATTTATATATATCGCACTTTATGACCGATTAGTACCATTCAATATAATATCAATTTTACTTGTTTCCAACTTTAAAATGACTTTAAAACTTTAATACGTTTGTTGTTATTTATAATGTTTATTATTTTGTACCTCATCTCTGTGGAATGCGATGCAAATATAATTCATAATATCGTATAAACTATTCTTTACACATTTTAAAATACAGCTGCAGCTTAAACTAATGGATTACATTTACTTATTAACAAATCAACATTATGTAACATGGATATCTTAAAAAGTTTCTTTAATTTAACTTAATTTTTTTGTATTATTTATTTTTTATACCGACAGATGTAGAAGTTATTGTATAACATTTAATTTATAAACATACTACGCAAAAAACAGTAAAATTAAATAATATACAAATCTACAAAAACAAAATCCATTAATTTTGTATTGAATTAATTTACTGCACTCCCCGAACATCTGACATAAAAACATATATAATAATTTCATATTATAATTCTTCATATAATTTGTATTCAATTAGTAATTTGTGCACAAATCCATGCTAAGCCCCTGAACTGTTGTTTTTTTTTTCAATATTTATAATAATATGCAATTGCATAATGAAAATTCGTTTGAATTCAATATCGAACCTTGACCATATGATTTTCTGTTTGTAGCTTATTTTATATATTTTGTGAATATGTATGTGTTGTTGTTGATTTTGTTGAGTTTTTGCATATTATCAATTTAATGAGTTAAAATCCATTTACATTTGATTGGTCGAGTATGCTTTTTTGTATTGATTCGTTTTTGGCAATTCAACAGAGAATGACAGAAAAAAAACTGTACTCGAACGAATAGAAAAATATATTCGACAAAATCATAATGACATTTTTGTATCTTGGTCAAGTAATTGATTGCATACAATTTTCTGTGCACAATGTAGGGGAAACTTTCACTCTTATGGATTTTGAAAACTAGAAACTGGTATAGTTGCTAAATTTGTAAGAAGTTGAAGCATTCAAAAAGCAATACTCGCATACACCACACTTTGGTACAGGAAAAGATATCTATTTGTGTATTTGTGTGTAATATTCAGAAGGAAATAAAATAGAACTGTACTTACTTTTAAGGATTTACAGAGAATCACTTGCTGGGCAAAGTACATGTTGCACTTCTTATTAA